AGGTAAGTTAAACTGACCCGACTCGTCCAATGTAACTTGACGAAACTACTTCTGATAAGGTCAGAATATGAGAAATATAATAACGATATCGATTAGGACCAGGTCATGCTAACATCTTAACAAAGTGCATATATACTTGTTAAACGACTGTGTTGTCGCCTCGGTATCTGTAATGACTCCCTATTAAAGAATAAATGCTCATATAGCTATGGCAGAGTTTAATCTTTATCTACTTTGTTGGAAATTCGCCATGGTAAGGTGGCTACGCATTTCGTTTTAGCCGTTTCCTTCCATCATTTCCGTAGTCATCGTAAATAACGGTCCTTGTAAAAAGTTCCAGACTCTACGACACGGAGAGCGATGCATCAATTCTGTGAACGAAGAGCACAAGTTGTTTTTGTCGATGTACGTTTTTGTTTACTTTCTACGCATGCCTGATTTTAAGTTCTGTACCCGTTGTAATTCTGGTAGCCAGAAATTGTTATTGGCACGTTTAACGGGTCCGTATCCTCGGCTATACGCCTTTTACTTTGTCGTCTATGCAGTTTTTTCTTCCATTTTGCTTTTTCCGTGTTTGATTGCTCTTTTGCGTGGTTCTTATCTGCTAATCCCGCTGTCGGCCTTGCGACAGTCACGCGTGTACTGTTTGAAATATCCGATGGGACGCCAGGCGATGGTCGTTCAGGGCGATTTAGTTTCGTTTTATGCCCCCGTCTCCGCCTTTTCTCGCCTGGTAATCCATCGTTCCGTGTGACCAATTGAACCTGTCCGCTGTGTATCTGAGGCAGTTTTGTAGCAATGTCCTTGCTTTTCTGTGAGCTTCGGAGTATTTCTGTCATTGTCATGGGGAGGTGATTTGAAGGACTCAGCGAAGGCAGTCTAATAGATTCTTCTACCAATTCCTCGAAAGTTTTCTCTGTTTGATGTCTGGTGTTTTGTTTGGCGTTTACGTTTGAGTCTACGTCTTCCGAATATTTGCTCATGATGAAATCGTGTTCATTCTCAGCCAGCGCTTATGTGTCATAGCTTTGCGTCGTGTACGTAAGCGCTTGAAAGTGTGGACTGAGCAAACTGTTTGTCAAAATCAACACTAGCGTGTTTTTGTTGTCCCTGACGAGTGTTTCGTGGTCGTTGTGGCACTAAAAAAACAATTTGTCATCGGAATCCGGCTGAAAAGCTTAGTTAAGAAGTTATGGAGCGAGTAGCTTGCGTTCTTGACTGTATAGACAAACGCTGGCCAGAGAAGCTCTTTATACTGACTCGACGAGTCGAAATCAAACACCACCAAGAATTCTGTGAATTACAATAATTCACGATTTTGACAGGCAACATCTCTTGCCCATGACCTCAGCCATGACCTATGTTCTACTGTTTGTTTGGGCTTCGGCTGAATTAGCTCTCAAGCGGATCATATGCTTGTTGGATTAAAATATCATAAAATGTTAAGCTAGAATAATGTTGTCGTTCATATGGTGCAAAATTCGCGCTCAGTGGGTGTCGATATCGGGTACCTTGATTGGGCGCGAAACGTATTTTCAGTGTTTTAGTGTAGTCATCAAGAGGGCAAATAAATTGACATGTAATTTAATGTATTCTCCTCTTTTATATACACAATACAGCTTTTGACTGTGTTTTATTTACCTGCGCTTACTTTGCTCTTGGCAAGTGGGAAAGATCCTTGTTTGAACTGAAAACGCAAATTTTGTTAATGACACATTACAAAAATAGCATTAACTCAGTGTGATGTAAGCTTGGGGCAATCATTCAAGTCTGACGCAAATTTCTTTATCATCTTGTGGTTCAAGATCGTTTTCCTATTTCCTCGTCAAATTT